GGCGAGGCGCGCACCACCGCGCCACCCCCGCCAGGAGGCCGCGCGCCGCCACGCCACGGTGCCCCACGTCCGCACCGTGCCCGCACCCGAAGAAGCCGCATGCGCCGCCCCGTCACGCCGGGGGAAGAACAGGCCCCGCCGCCACCGGCGACGGTCGGGCTTTGCCCGGCCGCGCCCCCTGGCGGCGGCGAGGGAGGAGGGAGGAGGAGGGGAGGCTCGCGGCGAGCGGATCTGGGGGTCCTCGTCGGCCGCCTCACAGGCGGCGGCGCGGGGAGGGAAGGGTTTCGGGCTCCCTCCTCTCTGGTCCATCCGCTTGCTTATTTGAGGAGCGACTCGTTTAGTTCATCACATCTTTTCATTCCCTGATCCCGGCAGGCAGGCAGGCAGGCAGGAGACCCTCCCGCGCGTATTCCTCACCCCCATCTAGCCGCAAGCAACAATTTTAGGTAATTTTGATTTACTTTCGGCATAATTATTACTCTCCCCGATCCAAAATAAATGCCGTGGTTTTGAAGTACTCAACTTGATTTACTACTTTACTTTCGGCGTAATCTGAGTTACGCAGTTTTTCGCGGTAATTAGTACTTTACTGGAGTCAACTCGATTATTCGCAAACTAATGATTCGTGCGTGCTCTATAACTGGCCCGAGTGCCCAGTTAATTAATGGATCCCCGAGGTGGTGTAACACAAATCGAGCTGGAGTACATGGTACACGATGAAGATGCAGAGCCCATTGCCCTGCCATTCCCACTTTTGGAGAAAATCACAGATTATTTTTCTGACCAGTTGATAATTGGAAGAGGTGGCTTTGCGGTGGTTTATAAGGTACGGTTAAAGCTGACTCTGATTAATTTGATCAAACTTTATATGAAATGAAAACTCTCGCGTGATCTCGCTGCTGCAGGCAGTGCTTGATAATGGCGTTCTCGATGTAAAGAAGCTGTCCAATACGCACATGTACGAGGAGCAATTCTTGATAATGGGTGAGGTGGAATGTCTTATAAAGGGTGAGGTGGAATGTCTCATGAAGGTGAAGCACAAAAACATTGTACGGTTTCTGGGATATTGCGCCGACACACAAGGGAATATTTCGGACTACAAAGGGAAAATGGTTATGGCGGATGTACATCAGCGGCTGCTCTGCTTTGAATATCTACCCAAAGGAAGTCTGCATGGTTATATAACAGGTAGGTTTGTGTTCCCATCTAATTTTCTTCACATGATATTTACTTGGTTGGTTCAAACTACTGGAATATATCTGTATATGACTTAAATAGTTTACACATGTAATATATTGTCTTGCATTCAAAAGTTAAGGAACTCAATTATCTCAAATATATACTGAACTAGATCCATTTTTTTCATCTATCCTGTGTAGATTCACCTGGAGAACTTAACTGGAGAAAGCGATACGATATGATAAAGGGGATATGTGAAGGGTTACATTATCTTCACCAGAATAATATTCTGCACTTGGATCTAACACCCGGAAATATATTACTGGATGAGGATATGATGCCGAAAATTACTGATTTCGGATTGTCAAGGTGTTTTGAGGAAGACCAAACAGGGGTCATTACTAAAAATGTGGCTGGAACGAGGTAAGCCTGCCAAAGCATATGGAAAGCTTAATTTTTTATATTTTTTTCCTGCAAAAAAAAGGAAAGCTTAATGTTTAACTTATTCAACTGTAGTGTAAATTTATATTGCACTTGCTCTGCATATTATTAATGGACCAGACTATATGTGTTTTCAGGGGATATTTGGCGCCGGAATGCTATAACAAGGAAATCATAATCACGCACAAGTTTGACTTATATAGTCTTGGTGCTATAATAATAGAGATATTGACCGGAAAGAAGGGGTGTCAAGTTACTATTGAGAATGTATGAACAATTTAGCCACCATTTCAAGTCAAATCTTACAAATAATGATCTTTGGCATTAGCACTAAGTCTTTATTTTAAAAAGGCTGGTCCATTTTCATAACGTAATCATGGTTGCATTTCATAGGTACTTCAAATTTGGAATAATACGATATTGGATGCACTGCAGCGGGATCAAATACGAGTATTGTGAAGATTGGGATGGAGTGGACAGAAGTCGATCCGGCAAAGAGACCAGCTAGTATGAAGCACATAATCGATTGGCTTGCTGAAATAGAATGTAGTACGCATGTAATCCCAGCAGGTGGGACAAGAGAGCTTCTTCTCGTTCACCCGTCCGTGCTTTGCTTCCCCTTTGAGCCCAACAAGGCTATCACGTGCCCATTGCAGCTAACAAATAACACCGATAAGCACGTTGCATTTAGGCTTATGGATAATAGCATGGAGTCTTCCTTCCTAAGGCTGCCATTGTATGACGTTGTGCCACCTAACACACCTTATACTCTCATCGTGACAACACAAGAGAAAGAAGATCTACCACGAAAGTATATCATAGATGTGATCCTCCAAAGTGCTACATTAATATTGGGGGATGATGATCATATAAACACTTTTCGAAGCCAGCCAGACAAGTTTTTTCAAGGGACAGGGAATGATGTACAGGAGGTGAAACGGAAAGCACTTTATACCTTGACACACATCGCAACGTCATTCTCGAAGGTAAAATATGATGAGCAAGCTCGGTGACATGCACAACACAGTTAGTTGTCAGCTGTTTTATGTATGTTTTTGCGTACTCTTGTATTAACATTGAGATTATAAAAGAGAAAAGACAGTTTAGTCTTTCCAGCAAGTATTTCCCCATGGAAATTGTTAGTTGATGCATTTCATCGTCGCATTAGCAATGATATGTCCATGAAACATACAAAGAAATGTTGCAAATTACATCTTGAGGGAACATTGCTGGACTTCAATCTTTCCATCAAGTAATTTGGTGGGAAAGCAAAAATGAGCGTCAGTCTCTGCCATTCTTTTTAGCACAATTAATATTTGTCGTTCTTTTTCAACTTCTTTAGTAATCTATATAATGGAAGATAGATAGATACAAGTTGGTCTCACTTAAATTTGAAGGTTGATATATTTACTTCACCTTTTGTGTTGTTTTCACATGTATTGCGTGGTGGTGGTTCTGGACCGTGCATGCACACATGGTCATATATTTCGCAGGCGATCTTGTCCACAGTCAAGGTATAAATTATATATCTTCTCTATCTGGCTTACGATGTCTGTGCAGTAATACTTCTAGGTCGTTCCCAGCCAGATATTAACCATAGCCTCTTTGACTCAGGTACGCGTCTACATAGATATGCATCTCTGTTGCTTGGACACAAACCAGGCCAAGCAGTGGTGAGTGCATTCTTTAGAAAATCCATATGCATGAACACACAAAAGTCAAGATGAAGTGTTTCTTCTTGATCTGTTTACATTCTTGAATATACATGTGGCACCTCCACCTCAATATGTGTGGCAAGATCTTTGGAAACAAATATGATTGATATTTAATCATGGAAGAGGAACCAATGACCTCCATTGATATTTGGCTCGGGAATGGGCCTTTGATCAGTCCATAGTTTCATTCCGCGTAGTTCCTCTCTTGTGACTGAACACATGAATGAGATTTGCTTTTGTACGTGTAAACAAGGGATATTGCACATATATGGTTGGTGGTTAATTTGATTTTTGCTTTTGGGCAGTATAATAATAGGAGATGAAACTGGACACGTTGGCTTTTGGGACTATCCGACACAGGCATGTACTAGTAGTGTTGTATTTTCTGATAAAGATTATTGATGCCTCTCAGGGGTATCCATGCTTTTGGTCACATTTGACTAACATATTAATTATTTCTTTATCACCGCAGAAAAAAGTGGATGCGCTTAAAGTCTCAGCGAGTCGTGGTATGATTTCTGATTTCTCTTACTACTTCTATTACTATTTTCAGCGAGCTGACTTTTCCAGGTACTGCAGTTACGTGCATTAGATTCATTGAGCGGAAGCAATGGATTGTTGCTGGGACAGAAGATGGGTATCTCCATGTGTACAGCTATGAAACAAGAATTCAGAAGATCACGAGTTTAAGAGTTGGTGGCATTGAGAATCTGGAGTCACGGGCTGCTCATACCCATCTGGCCATCCATCCAACCCAGCCGTATTTGTTGTCGGTGTATGGTTTTAAAGTGAAACTTTGGGACTGGGACGTGGGCTGGGAGTGCATACAAACATTTGAGAATGAAGAGCTTATGACAATACTTCGAGTCGCATTTAACCCAAATAACACATTTGCGACTGCTTCGATGGATTGCACAGTGGAGGTATGTCACCCCTCCCCCCTCCTCAGCCCTGGAAGACAAGTATTGCTGGTTGACCTTTGATTCTGATCTCCTATATAGGTTTGGAGTCTTGATTCTCCCGAATTTATATACACTCTAGTAGGGCATTCAAGCATAGTGAATTGCCTGGATTTCTTCACATGTGATGATCAGGAGTATTTGGTTACTGGCTCACATGATCAGACTGCAAAGGTCTGCTATTCTCATGCAATAACAAACTAATATAGGACGTGTACATATAGAATGTGATCATAATACATCCTTTGTTTTGTTGAAATCAGATATGGGATTTGCAGAAGAAGATGTGTGTACATACACTTGAGGCTTCCGTATCTCCAGTTATGTCTCTCTTGTACCAACCCGATCTTCAGATTCTAATTACAGGTTCAAAAGATGGCGCTGTTTATTTGTGGAGCACCACAAACTGCGGGTAATACAATATTCCACTGAATGTACTCAACCATACATGGATTTCCACTCTACTTGCTGACAAATGAAATTCCCATAGGAATGATTCATGTCCCCCGACTCTTAATAGAGTCATCAAGATTGGTTGTGTTGGAGCTGTCTACCATCTCACATGTGTGATGGGAGGGTATATTTTCATGCTTTTATTTTATTTCTAAGAGCATATATTCTTAGTTGTACAGCCATGCTTCGTATTTTGTCATGCCAGACTTGTAATGTTATATGGGTATATGTAGGCTTGTGATTGGAAAAGAAAATGCAGTGGCAATTATGGATATCGATGATGTGAATTATCAGGAGCAACCAACGGATAAAAGTGAGCAGCAATTAAGTGCATGTACGACACACCATGCCGGAGATAAGTCTAAGGTGACTTCATTAATTTTGTTTAGACGGAAGTGTGTTAAACGAGGGCAGCATTCTTGTACCCGGGAGCACGAAACATTGAGTTTACGAAGTGTGATTGTTTTAACAACATGTTCATGTCTTGAACATGCGTGCAAATTTTTGTAGGGAAAAGACATGTGTTGTGTGTTGGGCAGAAAACTTAAAGTGCTAAAAGGTAGTCAAGACCTTTTAAAAATGTGTTAAGTTCTTTTTATTTTACTTTTGACCCGGGAGCATGTAAGGTCTGGAACAAAATTGAATTTCCATTAACTTAATGTTATCTTTTGTATTGTGTTTAAAATATGGGAAGTTGAGAGCTCGCATACCAGGTTGACTTTTCTAATTCAGTTGTAGTTAGTCCTTTCAAGTTTCAACAATGCATATAGATAACTCATATTAAAGACAAAATTCATGTTGACATAATAATCATCTTTTAATTAGTTCACGCCAGTGTGTGAAACCTTAGCTATCCAATGTTTCATCTATTTAGCAGGAAAAAGCAGGGTCCAACAGCAAGCTACTTGATGTCCACCCGCTGGAACTCCGCTTCCCCTATTGTCCCAATGAGCCTATACCTTGCTCACTGCACCTAACAAACAACACGGATGAAAATGTGGCATTTAGACTTGTCGACAAGAGTGGCAAGTCCCCATGGTGCTTCTCAAAGTTGCCGCTGTACGGCATTGTCCCTCACGGATCCACTTACACTTTGACTGTGACAACGAAGGAGGAGATGAAGCTAAAGGAAGAGACAGACTTTGATCTCGTTATTCAGAGCAGTTTATTGGGAGATAAGTACATCGAGGTATTCAATGACCAATCTGAGTCCGAATCATTTTTCAAAGAAGCCAAACAGTTTGGGAATATGGTGCATGAAGTGACACTGAAAGCTGTTTATGTGCAGTACGGAGAGATCACATCTGAGGTGAGTTTGGTTTTGAACACTGATTTTGTTATTTGTGGACGAAAATTTGCAAGAAGCTAAAACTCTTGACGTCCAACAATTTCAGATTTTTTTATTTTATTTTGTTATTTTTGCTGGATTTACTGTTCACGGAGGGTGTAGGTGCATCCGGGACTAGAAAATCCACTCTCTAACATAAAAGAGTTGGAAGGGTAAGCATTGCATTGATCATTTACACCTAGTACAACATGAGTGACTCACATAGTTGCCGACTATGTACAATAGAACGGCCACGCTGCCCAGTGTATAAACTATAAAGATTGTTCAGTAGTTATTCTACAGAATAGCTATACATATAATGTACACTAACTCGATCAGCACTTCTGTTTCTCCATCATCCAACTTAATTTCAGCTATTGTTTCTGAGTTTGACTTGTGTTTTGTTGGATCAGAATATATCTGTGAAGTATAATCCTGACTCTTTGTGGTCCCTGGATACACATCCAACAGAGCCATGGTGGGTGCATATATTTTCATTCTTTTGTTCAAGTGAATGTGTTGGATGTTATTATACCATACACTAAAATTTATGTTGTCACACAGGATTTTAACAGGTCATAATAGTGGATATGCTCGCATATGGAACAATGAGATGAAGGCAAGCTAATGCAATCCCTGCATATGTATAATTATGTTAATATTTCGTCTATATATACTACTGCTCAATGTATATATGTTGACAAGTGAAAATGTACGCATTGACCTATTCTGTTGAACTAACAAAGCCATTTTCTACAGCATGCAGTTCCTGATTAATTCGTTTAAAGTCTCGGATCAGGATGCAGGTATTCTTTCTGACTCATAACTAGGATTAATAGTTAAGCACAGCTTGCATAGTCATATAAATACACACTGCCGTCGAGTACTAATTAAATTGACCACTCTCATTTCAGTAAGCTGCATCAAATTATTGCAAGAAAGCAGCTGATTGTATCTATGACAGATCTTGCTCACCTCCATGTGTATGACTGTGCATGTGTAACA